AAAAACTGGTGTATGTAAATTACCTTAAAGGATGTTGTTGCTACCTACCCGATGTTTTCATACCATCACACTAGCCCTTCCGCCTCCAAAAAAATTAAAGAACTAGTCTTGCCTCTACCACAAGGTAGAAAAAGAAATGAAGATCGGGACAGAAATATGCCCCAAAAACAAAATCGAAAAAATAAGTTATTGATGGTCATTCGTGCGACGTGGGCCTGATTTGAACAGACGCTCCCGAAGGAACAAGATTTCTAGTCTTGCGCATTAGACCACTCTGCCACCACGCCATTGGTCGTTGTTGTTGAATATTAGAGCGGAGAATCCACTCTTGAAGTCGGGTGCACCAGCAGCGCGCGGCGCCTTGGGATCGCTTGAAGAAGAGGAAGACAGGACTGGTGAGATTGGGTCGGGACGGAAGAACTAAGAAAAAGGTTGGGAAACGGGAATGTCTGGATGATGCATCTAAAGCCTTTTGAAAGAGGGAAGTAGAATTGAACTGAAGCACAAAGGTTTCTCCTCTCCATCCTCGTCGTGGCTGGGAAGGTACCTCTGTCTCTAATCCACCACTCAAGAGTTTCGTTCCACTGTGCCGGTTCTTTCGAATATTCCTTCAATGTTCTAATTTTCCATGTTCCATCGAACACACCGAACATGCCCCGTGGGGAATATCGTCTGCAATAATTGATCGTGCCTACCTACCGAAGTTCTTCCGGCATTCATCTCGTTACGGTTTCAGTGTTGTTCCGCCGTTCTTCCCCCGATTGCCCCTGTGAACCCAGAACCACGTAACCCCGAAACCTGGAAGGGAAGGCATTGCGTTGCACCGCAATACCTCGGAGATCTTGGTTGATCTTTCTGCCCTCCCTGCTTCCCTCCCACATGCCGTGAACTGTAAAACCGTACCCCGGAGGAGCTTAGCTTTTTTCAACATTCCCTGGAATCCATGAATCCATGCCATGCCCCCCTTGAACTTTTTGACCAGGGGCTGCTGTTCCAGAGTATCACCACCTTTTAAAAAGAAGAAATCCCACCAACCCGGTGCGGGCTCGCTGCCAAGACGTTGCAATTACTGCTACTGTCTCGTTTCGATGCTGCGAACACCAGGACTTACGAACACGCGAAAAGAACTGCGAGCGAACCGCGAAATGAAAGTGCATGGCAACTGCCGGTACCCATGACAGCATCAAGAGGAGCTTTGAGAGCCGGGGAAACCCCCCAAAAAAACACTCATGAGAACCGCTTTCCACAACGTAAGAACTTGGGGTTGTAAAAACCATCTTCTCCCCGGGAACAATGCGGATGGATAGATGGTGCTGTGGTCAGTCAACACATACATAATCCCACAATACGTAAAACCCAATATTGAGTTGAGACTAAAACTCGCAATGTAGAGAATCCGGGGTGCATGCGTCTCGTCTCATGTGCACTCTTGACAAGATCTGGTTGCTTTAGCCTTGCCCTTTTGGGATGATCGCAACTAGTCACTCCGTTGATGTCTTGATGCAGCGGAAGCGCAGAGACAGAGATGGGATGGAGCGTATGTAGACCGGGACTAACCTGGAACATTGGCAGTCGAGGTCCGTCGAAGGCCCCCTTCTCATGACTGACGGAATCAAGAGGTACATGGGTATCTTCTAACCCTGACAAGTGACGGAACTATAGCGCCCGGGGGCAACTCTAGACGTGTACAATACTCGAATACATCTATCGGAGTAAAAGTAGGCTACTCTTTCCCTTTACAGTTACCTGATGCCCGAGGACCGGGGGAGAAAGGGGATACCAGGATACAACCTACGACATATGTCCAGATAGACCAGACAGGGCCATGTTTCGAAGAGAACCCACCCCTCTCCGAAGCCTCAAAACCCCAAAACCCCGATCGATCATGGCCTTTCTGGGATTGGTGGAAGGAGGCATGAAACCGCCGAAAAACGAGCGGACGAACTAATTCTAGTCTATTTTGTGTGGATCATGGAAATGGGGATATCGGAGGAAGGACTGGACGGACGGAGAATGCCACGGAGGCCGTTTAGTGTACGACGTCAAACATACCTCCTTACCGACCGAAACTACACTTGACGATACAAAATAATCTTCGACATGGGCTGGGATTGGGAATGGGAAGAGTAATACGGACTTAGTTAGATAGTGTAGGTGTGGGTAGTGGGTAGTTGGACTGGAACTAGGGACCGTTCGTTATTAAAAGGGGACGACATGACGCGACCATCCCATCCAGTCGTCGATATTGAATCAGTCAAGCTCATCATCGACATCTTATCTTGAAGAAGAGTTTACCTTCAGACTTACACGACCTTCCTTACCTTCCAACACACCAGTCAACCAGTCAACCACCAGCTACCAACCACCACAATGTCCCTCAACATGAAGACCCTCTCCCTCCTCGCCGTGGCCTCCATCGCCTCTGCAGCCACAACTAACACAAACCTCCAAACCACCTTCCCCAAGCCCTCCGGCACCACCAACCTCGCGGCCGTCAAGACCGTCGCCGCAGGCGGCAGCTTGGACGGCGGCATGTACCAATGGGACCGGTCTCCTTCCACCTGCAACGACCAGTCCGAAGGCGGTGATGCTGATGCCGTGTTCATCCTGGAGGACGGCGCGACGCTGAGCAATGTGGTGATTGGCCCGAATAACGGGGAGGGCGTGCATTGTTTGGGGAAGTGTACTTTGAATAATGTGTATGTTTTCTTCTTTCTTTTTTTCTTGTTCGTTTCCCTTCTTGGTCATCCCTTTTTGTGCCTTTATCAACGAACGAGCATTAGCTAATAATGATGGACGGGGGAAAACAGCTGGTGGACCAACGTCTGCGAAGACGCCGCCACATTCAAGCAATCCTCGGGGACCTCGTACGTCAACGGCGGCGGCGCGCGCGGCGCCGAAGACAAGGTGTTCCAGCACAACGGCGGGGGTACCGTGGCCGTCAAGAACTTCTACGCCACCGACATCGGCAAGCTGTACCGGTCGTGCGGCAACTGCGCGACGCAGCACGCGCGCTCGTCGACTTTTACCAACGTCCGCGTCGAGGGCGCCAAGGTGGTGGCCGGTGTGAACGCCAACTATGGCGATACGACTACCATCAAGAACTCGTGCCTCAAGGATTCGAGCATCTGCTGGATTTACCAGGGCACCAGCAATAATAGCAAGGAACCGACCAAGATTGGAAGCGGACCTAGCGGGACCGCTTGTGTTGCTTCGGCTGTTAAGACTTCTGGTTGCTGATTTCTGGTTAAGAGGGAGGGAAGACTGGTCGTTGGAGAAATTAGTGTGGTGTCATCAAGAGGGGAGGCGAGGAGTTGTACATATCGGGGGACGTTGATGGCAGCATGATGTTGATTTTTGTGTTTCAATTCCTTCAGAATACCAGCGGGTCTCAAAATGCTGTGCACATGTTGTGAACAGTATTGGAGGCTGTATATAATTTCTCGTTTGGAGTACATACCAATTTGAAAAGCAAAGGTGACTGCAGGAACACCCACCCAGACCTAAACACCTTACTGTAATCCGCAATAACTGGTATCTGCTTCCCGATGATGAGTTCGACATCTTGCGCTTGGGCGCTTGAACTCCTAGTATACTGTCTTTTCCCTCTCGGAGTACGAACCCGCCCCATGCCATGTGACCTTTTTCCCTAGACGCCGGATTCTTGCTTGCCATGTTGTAAAAAGAACCTAAAAATAAGTAACATGTACCATGGTCATCAAACAATCTCATCGTGTGACATATCAGGAGGCGGCCAGTGGGACCATCTACCATGCCCGGCCTGTACGGCACAGAGCAAGCCCATGTATTTTGTGGCCCACAGAACCGCAAAGTGCAATAACAACAGGGAAACGCTTGTCTTCCAACCTACAATCGTTCCCGCCCAATAGTACTGCTCATTGTTGTAGGCAGGAACAATGTCAGAAGTGACCCTGACCAGGTGCCCATCATGGCCGTCCAACTGGTTTCTCTGGTCGTTTGCTTGCTCATTGCTGCTTGCTCGCCTACTCCCGGGAGAGACCCCAAGCATGGCATTGCTCTCTCTTCTTGGTTCCGGGTTCCCAGCCGGGTTCAGTAGGTCCAGGATCGCCAGGGCAAAAACTGACGTCAGAACACCAAGATTGGAAGCATATGGCCAACAGGTCCACGACAGTGAGAAGATCTTGATTCCCAAAAAGGCAAGCCTGAGCAGCACTTCAAAGGAAAGCCCATTTGCCGCCAGCCACCTCCCAGCGTGATATTGTGTTAGCACTGCGCGGTGCTTCATCTGCTCAAGCCGGGTGCTGGGCGGGGGCATGAGCAAGGGGGTTGTAATGGCTGGCGGAGAAGGCTGCGGAGGGACGACGCTGCCGTTCCGAGAGACTGGCCCGAGTCCAAACCTGGGGCTTTGAGGCTCGGGCGACGAGGGTACATGGTCACGGCTGCGTGACAGCGTCAACGATTGGGACTGCGTACGCGTGTGGTGGGGACGATGATCGGATGCACCATTTTGGTGGGTATCAGATACTGGCGTGTAACCGTCGACTGACAAAGGAAGATCCTCGTCTGGAGATGAAGACACTTTGGCATGTCTGTGGTCTGCTGGCGGAGGAGTAGTCAGTGAAGGCGCATCCGGGGAGGACGGGACGGGTGACTGACCTGGCACAGGCGTGCTGGGAGGCATGGGGGAATCTAGGTCTTGTATCCTCCGCCCAGCTAGGCCAATCGAAGGGATAGAACCTGTAGATGGACTTCCCACCCCGTCTAGACTTGACTCATTCTTCATGACACTCAAAACCTCATTGGCACTCGGACGCTCGGCTGGGTTAATAGCAAGAAGCCGCTTAAGCAGCTGATAGAGCCTGGCGGGGAGGTCAGGGCGCTCGCGTCGTTCATCCTCGAAACCTTTCCAGTCCGTGATCTCAGTACGCAGCAGATCAATATCCTCCAGCTCCTCATGGAGCGAATTGGCATTGGCGTATGGCAACCTCCCGAAACACATGAAGTAGAGGATCATCCCGAGCGAGAAAATATCGGATTTGGTGGTAAAGTTCCCATACTTACCGCTGGCATCCTTGATCAACACCTCGGGAGCACAATAGGAAATGGTGCCAGTCGACCCGGTTGACATTCGCACAGCGTTTTCGGGTTGGACCTCTCCGAAATCACTGATGAGGCAGCTGGTACGGCCACCCTCGCGATGTAGAAGGCAGTTGCTGGGTTTAAGATCCCTGTGAATGTAGTTGGCGGCGTGGAGATAGGCAAGACCGGAAGTGATATCCTTGAACAGCGAGAAGATCTCCTTGAAGGGTAACTGCCGCTGTGACAAACTAGGTCGTTCTATGAACCCCTTGGATCGACGGCGTCTTTGGGCCTTGATCTCCTCTATGGTTGGCTCCTTGAGCAAGTCGCCAATGACATAGTTCTGCAGATCACCGCCGTTACAGTACTGCTGGAGAATGAAGGCACATGCGACTTTGGGGCCGAACTTGTTGATCTTGACATCCTCAACCCACGAGAAGCGGTACGAGACCAGGTTTGGATGCGACAGTTTGGCGAGCAACTCGACTTCGACAAGCACCTTGCCCAGCCAGGCATGGTCATCGCCAACGGGCACACGCTTGCAAGCAAAGTGACCTAGGTTGCAACCATCAATCTCATGGCGCACAAGCATAACGACGCCCTTGCCACCGCGGCCGAGGGTACGCTCCTCGTGGAAAAAGGTTTCGAAATAGTTTGGGGCAAACGCCTCTTTCTTAATGCGAGTGGTCTCGGGAGGCACAGGCTCGCTACTGACGAATTCGGCATTCTGTACACCAACTTCGTTCCCACGATCGTCTATGGCGGGAACAGGACGGACCAAGCGGCGGATAGGGCTCGAGGGCGGGCGTGGGTTCGAGGGACCCTGACCATTGTGGCCGTCGCGCAACATGCGAAAGTAGTCGGGGTCGACATAGGATTCGCGACGGTCCGAGTCATCATCGACATGGCTCTCGGGAGAAGACGTTCGTAGGGGTTGGTGACAAGTGGGACATTCGTGAAGCTGGAGACCGCGGATCTCGAGGCGCTGGGTGAGGGGATCGCGGACGACAATGGCATTGCGATGGCGGCTGTAGGGGCGCAAGAAGGAAAGTCAGCGGCTTTGACTCTTTTTTTTTTTCCAATTTTGCTTGCCGGGAGTGGCCGGGTAAGAGGAGGGGTGACATGACATGACGTACAGGACAATTTCCCGCCCTTCGCGGGGGTGGTATGGGATGAGTGACATGACTGCTGCTGCTGACTTGCTAAGCTCTCTCTGGGTGATGGTGGTGCGGTCCTCAGGACTTGGAGCTCGAGACGGAGAAGCCCATTCTGTTGATGGGCTTTAAATCGCCGTGTCGGGGCCGTAGATGGTTGAGAATGTCTTTTCTTTCTTTGTGTCTTTGTCGCTGTTTGTGGTTGCTGGTTCTTGTTGCGGGATTGGAGCTGTGGGAAGCTTCCGTCTTTTGTTGCTTGAAACTGAATCGCGAGGATGGGAATTTGTGAACCTTGATGGGAGATGGATGTGTCAAAGAAGTGGAAATTCCCTTGGGAACGGGAGAGTTTGACGGCGGGGGCGGGCCCTTGTCCTTTGAGTGCCCATGAATCCCCTGAGGAAGCTTGTCTGCAACTAGCTTTTTAGCGGGCAATTTGACTTTGAACAGGTGCGTTGCACCCAGCAAGACCCGGTGACGGAACGGGAAGTGGCGTTAGATGCTGTGGTCATCAACCCCTAACGGGTTAGAGGGGGCCAGTGCGCCTGTTAAAAGAAGAGCATCCGGGACTTACTTGTGTGACATGACGTTTGAGAACTGGCACTGCCTTAACAACTGAACTTCGTTAACAATTTCCTTCTCTCTCGGACTTTGCAATTTGCATTGTCGCATTCAGTTCCATCTCTCCCCAAACTTCAACACCATCGCGACACAGCATCTCAAACTTTTTTTTTTTTTAAAGTCTTCAGCATTTAATTGCATCTACATATTCCTCTATTTAAGTGGGACTATGTATATCCCCTACTGCGCTGCCGGCAAATGGCCCGTCTCTTAACCCTGCTGGTGCAATATCTACTTACCTCTACCGTTCCAGCAATGTCTGGTTCCGATGCGGATAAAGTCATGATAAGGCTCGGCGGGGGCCCGGTGGTATCCTGATGCCGTCTTGTCCAGCCGTACCACCACGACCTCGACAAACACCCTCGATCTTCCCGTCTTTTGCGTCTCTTGGAAGCAGATCGTCAGATGCGCCGTCGCACAACAGAAGCGCCACGATATCCCCTCGTCCTCATCTGCGCCGCCCTCCTCTGAACTGGTGCGGCCGCATATCCAGTGCCATTGGCCTGGCTCCCCGGTCCAAAGTCAGGCTGTCCTCCCAAGCTGCCAAATATATCGCCAATATAGTTGGTTGGCTTGATTCCCGTTTGGAACGTCTGCTCCCAGCCCTGTAGAATCCCTCGAACAATCTCGGCCCCCGCCTTGCCTAGGTTGGCCACCGCAGTTGAGAAGCCGTTCTGGTCCTCCAGCAGGTGCTGGTATGCCGTGACGTTGGGCGGGGGCCTGTCAAAGTCTGATCCGGTTCGAATCACAAGCACGCGGGAGAAGTCGACGAGGCCTTGGATGGCGCCGCGGACGAGCACCTCAAGGACGGCGTTGTCTTCCTGTGCCGACATGCAATACTCGCCCGTCCCGTTGGTCCACACTTGCGAGACCGCCTCAAAAGCCTCGCTCAGCAGAGTTCCCGTGTAGTACACATCGCTGGTAGCTGTGTCGCATTTGACAACAGTCGGCAGTTCAGTCGCAGCAGCATACTCGGCGCCGGCCTCCCTGTACTTGGCTCGGTACTCGGCCACTGCCGGTGAATCGGACAGCTCCGCCTTTTGCGCAAACCCATAAGCTGCGTCTCTCAACGCATCGTTGACTTCAAACACCTCGGTGCCATAGATGCTGGCAGGGTATTCGCTCGGTCCCTCGGTGCCGTAAGCAAAGTATCCAGTGCTAAAGTTGTCGGGCTTCTCGCGGGCATCTAGCTCGTACTGCAGAGTGACCTGGATGACATAGCGTGAGAGCGCAACACCGCCGAGTGTCGAATACTTGGGGTTGACACCAGCAATGCCCCCGACGGCAAAGTACGTCTGGGTGAGATTGAACTTATCCGAGAGCACCAGCGCCATGGCACTCGCTGCCGCGTTGATCTCCCCCTCTCCGGCTGTCAATTGGCATACAGAGTGATCCGCCGTGCACAGTACCTGAGGGTACAGCATGGACAACCCGGGCATGTCGATCTTGCTGTCGTTCAAGTTTCCGGTTCCCGATTCCACCATGCTCGTCTTCCATGCTTCCGATTCCGGCTCAAACTGGAGCAGGCGCAAGTTAGCACGCCATCCAACATGTTGGGCCGTTGTTCTTCTTCTTGCCACTCACCATGCTAATTATAAAAACCTTGGGCGCTATTATCCCCCCATTTCCGCCGGTGTAGTTCTTCTGGCGAGGAACGGCCACGGCCGTAGCTGGACCAAGGTGGCAGAACAACTGCAGGGCAATAGTTGCCCAATACGAGAGACACCTCATGATGAGGGATGAGAGCAACAAAGTGAAGTTGACGATTCCAAGAAGTAACAAAGAAGGAGCACCATCTCCTATATGCACAAGACAGGACAGGAGTGCGAATGGATGACTGCGTTTCCTACTCCACCTTCTCATGCCACTGTTCATGTAGGTTCGGCCAAGCTTTATGGATATGATCGACGATCATGGCAATGCAATGCCGGCTGAGCTTATCAAGCAGGATTCCACGAAGTTGGGAATGCAAGGCGTTCTTACAAAGCCGTCCAATCCCTCGGGAGTGCTTCTTATTCAACGATGCTGAGTCTGTTCTGCGTGATGACCGCTTCTGTCCCAGCGGCCACGTACCATAGTCATCCGTTCATAAGTTTCAGCCTGTCGTTGTTTTTCCCTTCTTTCTCGCCTCAAGCTTGAGATTCAAGCTCCCACCTATGTAGGTATGGACTGACTCAGCTCAACTCAGCTACGACCAAGCGGTGAGAATGACACGGAGTAAACGCGGGAACTAGTCACGCGAACCGCCATGATTTTCCGGGAAGCGACCCGGTAGCTAGGGAATCGCTGGTTGATCGGCGAAGAAACTGGGATGATGTCTACTTTTCATCCAAGCTCAACCAACGATGCAACGCACTTCTGGGCAAGCGTTCGAACACCGATTGACCTTGACCACAGCTCGATCTTATGAGGATCAGCATGCCCTGTAGTGTGGGTATTTGTTTTCATTTTTGGTATCTTCAGCCCGGATCTTAGACACTACATCTATTCAAGTGTCCCTCCATCATGATTCAACCCTCCATGCCGCGTTCACGATGGCGTCATCAGTCCACCACTCTCATCGTCAACATCAACGATTCTACAACCTTTATTCCCAATCTCTATGACTAGCACCCTTTCACCTCGCATTGTTCGCCCTCGGGATTGTCGGTGCGGTCCAACTCCACATCACTGCAGATACACCAAAAGTGCTTCGGTTGCCTTGACTGAAAAGGTAGCCTGTCCACCAGAAACGGATGTCGTCTCAAACGTCTCGGTCCCGCTTATGGCACAAGATCCATCACCAAACTGCTGCCCTCCAAACGACGGAGGACTTCCTTGATCCACTCTGGACGTCGCGCTCACTCCCGTCAACCTTTTCGCCCTTACCGTCGAAGAGGTCAAGCCAGTCAAGGTAAACGACTGGGTGGTTCTTGTCCCGCTGCCGGCGTAATAGTCAGAGTTGTACAAAAGCACTCTTAGTGGGAGCCCCTTCGAACCGAACGTGGCATAGGCCGCATAGTTGGTCGAACCGCTATCCAAAGCCGTCAGGTGGCTCGCGCCGGCCATCAATGCTACCGCTGCGTACGCCCCGTAGTACGGAGCACCCATGCTGTATCGGCCCCAGAAGCAATACTGGCAGTTGCCGACGGTTCCGTGATGGAAGTACGTCCTCGACATGTTGCTATAAGTAGCGCGGAGGGCGTAGTCCATGGTCCATAAACCTGCCCCAAATGTTGGAGAGACTCCGGCTGCTCCGCCGCCGGATACTGGAAGAACAATCATCATCAGTTAACTAGCCAAAGCTTTCTCTAGGGAAAAGGGTGCGTGCTACATACCCGAGTTCGTCTCGCCAAAGACGTACTCCTTCCCGACCCCGCGAGCCGCAGCTATGTCGGCGTCAAATATGTTGAGGTTCTTCGAGATGGTCGAATGCGTCATGAGACTCTGAATGCTTCCACCGGGGTAGTTATGGTGGGCGTAGTGCCGAGTATATTGCTTCACCGTTGCGTTCTCGGTGGCTATCAGCTGCGCAGCTCCCCATTTGGGCGGTGCATCATTCCAATTCCCCGCCTGAATGATGTTGTTCCTACCAACCGCGCTGCCGACGCGAATGTTCCAGTTATTCTGCGATGCGGCGTCCGTGGCCGGAGTCCAGTTGACTCCGGATGTAATCGGTTGTCCGTCTTTGACCCAGTCTAGTTAGACAAAGAAGACAAGACCCTTTGTCAGCAAACGCCTTTCAACATAGAGGTATCCAACATCCATAGCGTTCAGTTTCTCTCACATTCAGGTTCATTCCCCAGCTCAATCGCCAGCAAATTCTTCACCTCGGCCACAGCAACCTTGGCCGCAGCGATCGTATTATCGATATTATTCTTTCCCCTATTCAGCCCCACCACCACACTCCCTCCGTACGTCCCCGCCAGCGTCATGAATTTCGGGCCAAACGTCAACACGGAGGGTGCGTCCTTGGCGTCCGCCACCGAGTATACGACGTAGGCGGACGTCTTGGAGTCATATTGCGCTCGGTCTTGCGTCGTTCCGCCGATGCGGATGGGCGGCCAGACGCCCGTCAGGGACTTCCAGTTCGCTAGACATTGCTGGGTGGCGGTCACGTTGGTGAAGTAAGAGGGAAAAGCGAAGAATTCGAAGGAGATGCCGATGGGCGAGGGGTCAAGGGGGGCGTAGGCGTAGCTGCCGGTTCCGACTTTATTGGGAACGGTGAAGGTGACTGCGCTGGAGCCGGGAAGAACTGCTGCTGTGGTTAGGCAGAGGACTGAGAAGGCTGTTGTCTTCATGGTCGTCCAGATTTTTAGGGATTCATGGCTTCTACATAAAGGAACCTAGAAGGTTTGGGGGATTCCTCGCTATTTACATGGAGATATCCGAGGTTCGGAATCGGACACCACCCATGTGCACCCGCCCGATCGAGGAACTTCGGTGCTTTAACCGGCCGATGCGACGCCAGACAGCCACCAGGTATTTCTGTAATGGGAAGTAGTTTTTCCGTCTGTCACGATTGAATACCAGGACGATCAATTCCCTGGTACCACGACGAGCGGGATAACACATTGTTTTATGCTTGGCACCAGACGCGCGCGCCCCGATGGTCCTTGTTTGGTAGTGTACCAAACTTGGTCGTGAAGACAGTTCGCAAGCCAGTTGCTTACCTCAGTTTGTTACAGTATGTAAGTTCTTTGGTTCGGGTTTTCACTTCGCATTACACCATGTTTTGATCGTAATGCTTTGCTTTACTCTATCAGGCACGTCGTGGTCACGAGCCACCAGTCACTTGGTTCGATTACTTGCACTTTTTTTTTGTCTTGACTCTTTGCATTATGCTCTAGTCTATATGTAGTATGTCTAGATGCTCATGTCATTCAGTCCAGCCATATTCTAACCATATTCTAACCATGCTCTATCAACCTCTTCCTCTTCATCTTCCAAACCCCTCTAGAGTTAGTCTAAAGCCTCTGAACAGGTTGCATAAACCTTTCTACCCCCTCCAACAATCTCACCATCTCCTCCCTCAACTCCCTCCCCCTTCTAACACTCCCCTCACAAACCTCCGCTACATTCGCCGTCGATAGCTCCCTCAGCACCTGTCTCGCCTTTCCAACAGGATAAACATCACAACCAGCCAACTCCTGAACCGTACTACTACACTCCTTATTCTTCCTCTCAAAAGCCACAACAAGCTCACCCATCCCCTTCCTCTTTTGCACAAAGGTCTTGAACAGCTCACCGATCTTCTCATCCGCCTCCCTAATCTTCTTACACAACTCAGCACACCGATTAAGCGGCCTTTCGAACTCCCGCACGAAGAAAGCGTGCCGCTTCACTGCCGGCTCCTGTTGGTGCTGCTGCCGAAGAGGTTGGAACGTGGTCGCGCACGCCTCGGCAAGTTCTAAAAACAAAAGTTCCATAAGCTCGGAGACTTCGACGATGGTTCTGTCCAGTGTCAATTTCTGCTTGTGGATCTCGTCGGCTGTGGAAAGGAGGGAGGTTCGGGCTTGGGAGAGACTCTCTTGGCTGCCCCTGGCTGGGATCGGCGGCGTGGTCAGGGTCAGGGACTCACTTTTTTTTAGAAGGAGCTGCGGGAGCTTGGGGGGCTTGGGGGGCTTGGAGAGGAATAAGCAGACTCAAAGGGTGATGTTCATGAGTCACTGACAAGCTGGGACATTCAGACGCGTTAACACCGCTATTTATGTTGCCTGCGACGTCGCTGGAGTGCAACTTCCAGAGGAGGCAGGGCATCGTTTGTTTGTAGGCTACGCAGCAGCAGCTGTTCTTGTTGTTGATGTGTGTGGGGCAGATAGCGAATTTGTGTGGGGGTTGGGTTTTGGATAGGAATTCGTCTGTTGTTAGCCTTGTAGGGGGAAGGTTGAGAGCGGCGACGATGGAGGAGGAGGAGAGGTTGGAGGGGTTGGAGGCCGCTTGAGCTTCGGGGTGGGAGAAGTGGATGATGTTTATCTGGCACATATTGAGTGTGAGGTGTGTTTGTTTGTGTGAGTGGGTGTGGTTTTTGGTTGGGGAAATGTTCTGGTAGCTGAGACGGCGTTGTTTACCTTCGTGTGTTTCTTGTTTTTGAGAGTATCCGGTAAGTCTTAGTAGTATGATATGGTCCAAAGTCTTTGGTGATGAGGATGGAGTTTCGAAGCTGACAACATGGAAGGTACCTCTAGGGACCGATGGCCATATATATATATATATACCTGACTCGGGAGGTCTTGTCCATCGTGGACTCGAATGTGAACAACGTATCTGGATCTCTGGTAGATCTTTTTGTTAACTGTCACTATATGCTCACGAGCACTTGTTGCTGTTGTTTTGGGCTTTGACCCGGAAGACTTCCGATCCACTCGTTCGAGTTCCCGTTTTCTGAAAGTTCTTTGTTCTTCTTCTGGGTTATCCTCGCCCAAAGGACGGGG